CCGGAGTTTGTATCTTTGATTGATGTGTACTCAGCAAAAAAGTAGGCTAATGAGTTTAAATATTCCAGCGCTGCCACCTCTCTGAATTTCTTAGACTGAGCTTACAGCACCTAATTATGTAATTATGTATGACATTTGCAGTCCTACTCACTATTTAGAAGGGAGCATGACAAGCTTGCTATATCTGCTGGCACTGGGTTTTACCTAGATCAGAAACTGAGTGAAGGTACCCTGTAATTCCATTCAGACAATCTTGTGATCCAGGTAACCATGCCAAACAGCACAGCCAGGTCCATAAACTTACTTTCCAATACCTTAGTTAAGCAGTGAAAGCTGTCAAAGACCCCAGTCTGCTGGTATGCATAAAAAAAAAAAAAAAGCATGCACACATTATTACAGAGGTTGAAAAAACATTGTCCATCCTTGAGTGGCCCAGTCAAAAAATGCAATAAAAACCCCCCAAAACCTGTGGGCAAATAGATTTGGTTCTCCTTAAACGTAGGTCCGTGCTAAATTGACTGGAGAGTACCTTCGATTATTCTAAATATACAGCCACATTAGTACTTCATGGTCGACGAAGGAAACGGCGCAGCACGTTATCCTGGCTAAGCAAATTCTCACACTCAGAAATCAAGTGTCTGTTCCAGTAAAAGTGTGTAGGGAGAGTTTTAAAATCCAATGTATGAGAAATATAAATAAGCTGAATCCACACATCTTTAGCCCACCCGCGTTACATTTCTCAACTTTTCCCTTGGCAGGAAATTACTCCATACTAATAAAATATCAACAGTGATTTCACAAATCTGGAGCAGCTATAAATGGAACTTATTGCTAGCGAGCAGCCAAGAAAAACCTACACGCTGCAGATTACACGACAGTACCCAAAAACAGGCCTGTCATACACACAGGGGATTCTTATTTACTAACAAAATATCCATTCATGAACAGGGTCTGAAGTATGGCATTCTCCGGGTGTTATTTATTTTCCGCTCTCTAGCCAATGTGTTCTAGAACTGTTTTGTTGGAATAAATCAGTCCCAGATTACTGGCTGATGACAAAGTAAAAATAAAGGAGCTGTTCTACATGGCTTGGAGTTTCGTGATGAAGTCTCTTGATAACAAATGGTTTTACATTGCTGGAGAATTCAGTTCTGTTGATTTTACATAAATCCAAAACAGAGCTGTACTCAAGTAAAACATGAATTTTGAAGGGTGCATTGAAGTGACGGATAGAACTTTGAGAGAAGAAAAATAAATTCATATAAAGCAAGGAAGAGAGAAGAAAAAAAAAAGATAAAAAGTAGGAGGGGGTTAAGCTGAACTGCAGACAAAATGCTAAATACATGGCTAAAATACACAAACATAGGTACATTGTATTGTTTATTCTGACCGATCACGTTTGTGATTTATGGCAGACAGCAAAGAAAGTGTTCTCTTCCTATCCACCGCCTATATATTGGATAACAAAGGAGCAGTAACAATAAAAAGTCAAACTCAGCTCACTCTACTCTCCCCTCCTATTGGCAAGTTTCTCGTCAGTACATTTACACCCTCCACCCGTCTGAGTTCTGCTTTTGAAGGGGCAGATATCGAAACAGATTCCACTATTTATAGCTCTATTCCTGTAACTAACCCAAAAAGAGAGATTACAGAGCATTAACAGAGGTAGAGGAAGAAAAGCAGAGACAGTGGATGCCACTCTCTAAGAGACCCTTACATGTCAAGGGCAGAACCTATTTGGGGACATCAAGGCAGTGTGCCTATTAGCGGTAAGCATTGGTTGGTGGTACTAAAGAATCTCCATGGACTCCAGACAGTTAAACTTCTCGTCCATATTTTTAACAGAGGCCTTCCATGGTGTAGATATTACTGACCCCAGCAATCCACATCTGTATAATAGGCGGCTGAAGGGTTTTCCACAATGGTGGAGTGCATGCCCTAGCTACATTGATGGATGGGGATTAATATTTTTAAAAATTAAATGGAATTGGGTTTCAAGCTAGTAGTATGTAAAAAAATAACACACAACTAAATTAAAAAGGGTCTTTAATAGGGATGCACCGATACCAATGCCATTATCCGTGGAGATACTAGGCATTTGCCCTGATATCAAAAATCAAGTGCCTGCCTTAGGTCCCACACTTGCTGTGGATCTCACAGCAGCCTTCTTGGGATCCACGCAGCGCCTGTCTCCCCCTCCTGAGACACTCCGCTCAAGACATCAGGCCGACACCCTGGAGCAGAGCAGCAGCACAGAGTATGTAGCAAATTCATATACTATTATTCTGCATTGCTGTACAATGTATCGCTGGCATTTGTATTCCTTTATAGCTGATGATGGTATTCTGCATTGTTGTATAATGTATTGCTGGGATTTCTAGTCCTTTATAGCTGATGGTGGTATTCTGCTTTGCTGTACAATATATTGCTGGGATTGTAGTCCTCTATAGCTGATGGTGGTATTCTGCATTGTTGTATAATGTATTGCTGGCATTTGTATTCCTTTATAGCCGATATTATTCTGCACTGCTGTAGAATGTATTCCTGAGATTTGTAGTTGCAGCTACGACCAGGCCCTGGCCCTCCACCACTGTCCTAAAAGCATTAGTTTGTATTGTTTTAGAAAAACTGTCACGTGACACTAAACAAAAGGGTATCAGCAATTGGTATTGTCGAGTACTTAAGGAAAAGTATCGGTACTCAGACTCAGTCTAGAAAGAGTCATATTAGCGCATCCCTAGTATTTAATACAAGCCTGGAGCAAAAATCTTTCACAAGAAAACAAACTATGGGTATTATACTGAAAAGGCAGTGGGCCTCGTTAAATTCTGGGACTTTGTCCTATTGAATGTTTTTTAGAAAGCAGTAATGATTGCATCACCTGGATCATGGCATTTTCAATGGAATACTGATGCAAGTCCAGCTCCATTCAACGGTTTTTCTACACCCCTTCACAAGATAACCACCATCATGCCACCATCAGAGCATGTTTGCCAACATGTCCATCCCTCCTTGGAAAAAAAATCTGAGATCCTTCTGCACTGGAGGTTACAAATGCTTCCCTAAACCAGCAGCTACGACCATGAACCAATACCTCCTGCTGCAAAATAATCTATTCTGCATTTCGTGACATGTGCTACGACAACAGGCAAACTGCCCCGTATTGCACCAGATAGTTTCTATGGCTGACATAACATTACATTGTAATTGTGAAGAGAAAAAGATCTTTTCAATAAAGAGAGACAGCAGGAAAATGCAACATCATGGTAAGATGATCCACATGTAACTTAAGCTCCAACTTCTTAATGAGCTCCTCATTCAAAGCATCCTTATTTAACAAAGCCGTGTGAGCGTCAGACAGTGGCAGGCAAGGCAGCAGTACCACCTTTGTCTGAATGGGGCCTTTTTATCTACAGGACAGGAAACCGATACTGTTCTCATACAAAGCTTTGTATTTGAGAAGACATGCTGCCCGCAGGAGGAGAAGAAACATTAACAATGCTAAATAGTTATTTTCCTGTAGGATGACCAGTATGTCGCTCTAAGATGATACAGGTGTGTGGTTGGACTAGGATTTTCATGAAAGGCTGTTGAGTTCAATGACCACATAAAAGACGAATGACATCAGCCATGAAAGCACACTCTACATATTTTAGCACGATTGGGGTCTTTATATCTATATGTAGCTTGTCAATTTCCCCTTACAAATTTTAAACACCTCAGAAGGTGAATGGGTTTCCATCCTAAATATATGTCATTGCATGAGGGTGATTGGGACATTAGAAGGTAACCTTCAGGGATAGGGACTATTGGCAGGCATAGACGGCTCAAATTTCAGCCATTCAGCCCACAGGAGAGGGAGGAAAATATCAATCTATTCTGTATCCACGCTGTTAGCACTTTAATCAGGCAGCCAGGGGAAACCGTAGTTGCTGGCACTGATGAACAGTGACTGCATCCGATAGGATCTAGTCTCTGTTCAACAAATCATTTTCCATCTGGCTCAGTCGTTTTTTGAGCTGGACCACACACAGCTCACATTTTGGCAAATTTAGCAGGAATATATCAAAATAAAAAAATAAAATTGGAGAGCTATTAGCACCACTCTATATACAAACAAAAACATTTAAATTTAGTCACAATGAAGCACCACAGCTTGAAGAAGAACTCCAGACACAAATAGTCTTAATCCTAGAAGTGGGGCGACCTCCGCACTGCAAGGGTTAAGTGCTCATTTTTGTCAGAGGACAAATATTACAAAGACCTACTCAGCAGATCCTTACAGCCAGCTGGCTGCTAGACCAGTCTTGGGAGCCTCTTTCCCATTCCGCTTCAGAGGTCTAAGGTCCTGTGAACCTCACAGCCAGCTGGCTGCTAGACCGGTCCCCTGGAGCCTCTCTACCATTCCGCTCCAGAGGTCCATGGTCCTGTGAACCTCGTAGCCAGCTGGCTGCTAGACCGGTCCCCTGGAGCCTCTCTACCATTCCGCTCCAGAGGTCCATGGTCCTGTGAACCTCGTAGCCAGCTGGCTGCTAGACCGGTCCCCTGGAGCCTCTCTACCATTCCGCTCCAGAGGTCCATGGTCCTGTGAACCTCGTAGCTAGCTGGCTGGCTGCTAGACCGGTCCCAGGAGCTTCTCTTCCAATCAGCTCCAGCGTTTTAAGGTCCTGTAAACCTCCCAGCCAGCTGGCTGCTAGACCGGTCCCTGTAACCTCTCTCCCATTCCACTCCAGTGGTCTCAGGTCCTATGAGTCATCACGTCCAATTCACTGTATTGGACGCGAGGACGCCAAGAGACCTTCCATCGCTGGTGCAGAGGGGGAGAGAGGCTCCCGGGTAGCCCTACTGCAAGGTTTAATGACATTTGTGGCCAGAGTTCTTCTTTAAGGGAAACAGGAACAGGTTCACTTTAAGGCAAAGCAAATAGCATGAAAGCTCCTGTTTACACCAATCAACTAGGTATCTTAAATCCAATTATTTATTTTGTACATCAAACTTACCATTTTAATGCCAGTGGAAAATGTAACTGTTGGTTTAGCCTTCTCCATCTGCATTTCAATCTGAGTGGATTTTCCTTTGTGTTGGGCCAACAGGATTGATGCAGGAAGCCGAGATGTCTCCTATATTTGTTAGAGGTAAAAGAAACAGGGAATCAGACTGAAGTTCCACAAAAAACAAAGGATATTAAGAAGGGGGGAGGGGGAGAGAGTTTTTTTTTTTTCTAAAATAAATATTTCCAATTATTTTACAGAAAAAATAAACTACACATTATTTGATCCTAAAAAGTGCTATGAAGTAGATTAGGACCAGAAAGAGAAAAAACAGTAAAATTGTAAATACTGTAAACTGTGTTTCCAGTTATAGAGGCGACTGAGCAAAGATGGTGGTTGTATACAATTTATATTCTTCTGATACTTTTGGTTTGAACTCTACACATCAATCTCTGCCTGAAAAGATGACAATCTAATACGCAATATATACTGTGCAACAGTAGTGCCAATTTAGATGGAGGCTAAAGTAGACCTGGCATTATATATATTTTTCTATGTTAAAGAGACCCCATCACCAGATCATTCATTTCAACAATCTTTCCATAAGAATATATTAGCATTTGGCCCCATGCACACAGCATATAGTTTTGGCACCTCGTGCCAGCACTATAATTTTATGCCCCCAAGGACACAATGTGGGTACAAAATAATGAAACATCATGTATATGTGTATAAACTTGATAATATGTTGGTGTTGTTCTTTTTTGTTTAAAGATAGATCTACTAAACATTAGGAAATTTGATGAAGCAGACTGTAATCTGCAAAATGTGTCACTTACCTGCATGGTACCATATCAAGCCCACTTTGTATATTGAATACTCAAGTGTATGGCTGGAAGGTCACCCTCAGTACCTTGGACTCTGACACTTTGTAAAACCAAGTGGGCGGCGGCACCTATTGCTGGTTTAAATCTATAAAATTGTCTGGAGCACAGTCTGATTTTATTGGATGATATTTTTTTAATATCTTATGTTATGTAATAAAATGTGGATATGTTTGTATATTTGTTATATTTATGTCATACACCTTAAAAGTCCATTACGGGCACTTACCAATGTAAGTTGGTACAATTGATTTAGAATTTTAGAATGTGGTGTATTAAACAATTGGTATACTAGGTTCAGGAGACAGGAGAGGAGACAGGAGAGGAGACAGGAGAGGAGACAGGAGAGGAAGTCGTCTCCATGCTCCATCGGCACTGCCAGTCAGAGGGAGATCTCCCTCTGACCAGAAGTTCCGGTATCGGAGGTATATATCGGAGCATTTGGGCAAGTACGAGTACTCGCCAAAATACTCGGTATCGGTGCATCGGTAATTGACAGGAGAGGAGACAGGAGAGGAGACAGGAGAGGAGACAGGAGAGGAGACAAGAGAGGAGACAGGAGAGGAGACAGGAGAGGAGAATACGGAAATTCTGCTTCCTCTTGCCTGCATCAGATTACATCACCTCAGCAAATTCACTGACTGGACCTCAAGAACTGTTTTTTACTTATTAAAAGGTCCAATTGTATTAAATTAGGGATGCACTGATACTGTTTGTTCAGTATCGAGTACCGATATTTTTTTTCGGGTACTCGCCGATACAGAGTACCAGTGGTGTGTGCCCCAATTATCAGGAAGTCGGGTGGCGGGTCATGACCCATCGCCCGGATTCCTGATTGCCTGGGAAGCCGGTGTTAAACAACACCGGCTTCACTTGCCGAGGCTCCTTGGCTTCCTCACCAATCAGGAAGCCGGCCGGTGAGTCATGAGGTGCCATCCGGGTTCCTGATGGGTCAGGAAGCGAGGCTGCCTAGCAACAAGTGCAGCCAGCTTCCTAGCCAATCAGGAAGACAGGCGGCATGTCATGACCTGCCTTCCTGATTGGCTAGGAAGCCAGCTTCACTTGTTGCCGTGCAGCGTGGCTTCCTGACCAATCATGAAGCTTGGACGAGAGTCATGATGTGCCGCCCGGTTTCCTGATAGGTTAGGAAGCCAGGCTGCCTAGCAACAAGAGAAGCCGGCTTCCTAGCCAATCAGGGAGCCGGGAGGCGGGTTTTAACCCACCTCCCGGCTCCCTGATTGGAAAGGAAGTCGTCTCCATGCTCCGTCGGCACTGCCAGTCAGAGGGAGATCTCCCTCTGACCAGAAGTTCCGGTATCGGAGGTATATATCGGAGCATTTGGGCAAGTACGCGCCAAAATACTCGGTATCGGTGCATCGGTAATTGAAATATATTCCTTTAAAATAAATTGTGACGTGTCAGGAATTGATTCATACAGACTTGCGAAGTTATCAGGCAGATACACTTTAACTTACCAGTATGTTTTTAGCTTGTAGGAAATTATAAGATCAACCACAGGATAGAGAAGTAAAAATTGAAAGAACTGCACACAGATAGTTAAGTGCTCTCTGTAGTGCACACTGCAGCCAACAAGACTGTATATTTACAGGTTTGGTGGGACACATAAAATACATATCTTCGAACACGCACATAAGCTTAAATGGTTACAGAAAAGCTCCACAATGTCAAACAAAAATGTTCTTTCCTATGCAAAGTATTTAAGCCTTTGTGTTCAGTTTTACTCAAAATGTTTACGGTTTATTAAAAACTGGACAGGAAAGTAAACTTCAAATCAGTGTACATTGTGTGAGCGGGATTAACGATGCCAGCAACCTCGGAGCAGATACGGATCAATACTTTTAATAACGCGGAGGGATGCTAAGCGCTGATAAGTCTTCCAAAATGAAGAAAAGGATCTTACTCTTCGTACGGTAATTCTATCTGCAACAATTAAAACTGGATTTAATCTATCACAGCAAGACGGAGAATGAGAAAACGTTGCTAATATCAGGGTCCGAAATGTCATTTATGAAAAAAACCCACATCATAATATAAGGCCTTCTGCATGTGGGAAACTTAAGGGCATAAAATGTAAATGCAAGCTTTTTACCATGTTGGGGAAGCCGGGTGCTGTGTACAAGCACCCATGGACACATACCCACGTATGGCATATGAACTGTGTCTATGTCTATACGCTATACATAGGTATACGCCAGTATCGGTGTATACCCATGTACATCCATTTGTGTCTATTCGTGGCTGTACGCAGCAACTGGGCTTCCCAGGCACGGATCAAAAAGCCTGAATTTACATTGTACACCCCTTAATATGCATGCATGGGACCTAACGGAGGATAGTTATATGGCCAACAAAAGCACCACAAGTTTATACTATTTTTGCTTTAAATTAAAGAAACTAAGTTGAGAATCATTCATGAAACTCAAAAAAGTTACAAGTGACTTCTATTTGTGCAAACAAAAAGATCCCCAAATATGCCCCCAGAGTTTATTAACTAAAGGGTCAGCCAACCTAACTATATTTGCTCAGTTGCATGTAATAAAGTGACTCTGGTATCAGATATACAGTATTTCTTTATGTTAAGCACACATATGCCATGTCATGAGTAAGTGCAAAGATTACAGATATTTATTACCTCCCACAGAGATCACAGTACTCCCCCTGACAAGGCCTTCATCTGATTTTCTCTTCAGATGAATGGCACCATCTTTACCAGCCATTATCCAGGATCACATCTAGATCTGAGATACCAGACACAATCATGTAAATCCTGGTGCATGTGCAACATATGGCTGTGTTCACGAAACAGATCAGTCGCTGCTGGAGCCTCTCACCTTACGGATTGCTGCAAAGTTACAATGTTGTTGTGTGTTAACTGGAAGAGGGGAAAAGGAGGTAAAAATTCCATAAGGCAGGTTCACACCATTTTCCGGACCAGATCTGGAATGCATTTTGGGTCCGGAAACAATCTGATCTGGTGATGATCTGGATGTGAATGGGCCCTTAAAGGAGAACTATGAGGCGAGTGCTTTTCACTCACCTCATAGTTCTAGCCGACCTGTGACAATGAGACTGTTACAGGTCGGCTCAGTAGATCGGGAAGTGAGCGAACACATACCGGGTTCGCTCGCCTCTCGATCCTGTCACGGCTCTCTGCCATGACAGGGGAGGGGCTGGATTCCCCCCTCCGATCCGCCAGCGCTGACTGGCGGAACGGACGGGGGAGGGGGCGGGTACAGCTGGCTCTCTCTTTAGATAGGCAGAGCCAGCTGTCAGTCACGCAGCTGGGCGGATCCAGACATAATTGTCGGGATCAGCTTCAGATGCGGCATCTCAGTATACCGCGAGCAGGTATACTGAGCTTAGGGTGACGGGAGGACGCTAGTTTGTGTCATCCCGTTACCCTAAGGAGAACTATGGGGAAAAGACTTAACCCCATAGTTCTCCGGCTCCTGCTGTCACATCTAGGCATTTTGTTTGTCAGCCCTGTTATCATTCTACAAAATTTAGCGCAATGACAGGTCTGCGTTAACAAGTATTTCCACTTTTGCAGCCAAATTGGAATAACGCCTATTTTATATTTGTTACGTGTTTCCATTCACATAGCATAGCTTTAAAAAAAAAAATTACAAATGCTTGCACTTTAAATCGCTTGTACTTGGGTTAGGGTGTCTTGGCTTCTTAAGAGTTAACATTTCTACTTGCTTCTCCTTCTTTGTAATGTTAGTTCTCCACTGTATGTTAATTAAATTAATGAGAGAAACACAATCCTCAAATTTCAGTCCCAAGTCTTTACATCAGGACAGATCTACAAAGGACAGATCACTGTGAGGACCCTTCATACTGGGTCCATGCATTAAAAGGAGAACTATGAGGTGAGTGAAAATCACTGATCCTCATAGTTCGAGCCGACGTGTGACAATAAAACTGTCACAGGTCGGCTCAATAGACTGGGAAGTGAGCGAACACATACCGTCGCTCGCTCACTTCTCAATCCTGTCCCTGCAGAGAGCCGTGACCGTCACTCACAGCTCACTGCAGGGATTCCCTCCCCTGTCCAACCCTCCAGCGCTGACGGGCGGAACGGATGGGGGAGGGAGCTGGTTCTGCCTCTAGATAGGCAGAGCCAGCTGTCACTCACGCAGCTTGGTGGATCCAGACAGTAATGTCGGGATCCATCTCGGCTGCAGCGTCTCAGTATACTGCGAGCTGTAGCTCGCGATATAC